GTAAAGGCGGGGAGCCACCCCTAGGGGCATACACCTGAAATCTCAAAGTTCAAAGAGGTAACAAAGGCTGTGTGTGCTCACAGTGTGAGTTTCACACAAATGAAAATATACGCCCAGGTGTTCACCCTCTAGAATTTTACAGTGCAAATTAGGAAGCTGGTCCTCCTAACGTGGCAATAAAACATCAAATGCTCGAGCTACAGTCTCTCAGCAGGCATGGGAAAATGGTTTGTCTTGGACCCGTGGACAGCCATTAATACAACGAGGAAGTTAAAGAAGGAGGAATCATCCAAAGGAAAGTTTCAAGTTCACAGAGAATTTTTCTCCTTGTCCAAACACAACAGCGTCTCATGAATGCCAGACCGTGGGCGCGGGCTGTGAAATTCCACAGAAACAGAATTCTCTTGACGTGAGCTCTTCCTATGGGAGCCTCAGTTCACAGAGGTTTCCACCCCAAATTTATCTGTGGAGGATCACATAGGAAGCAGCTGCGGGGCGCTGGAACTAGAGCGATTCACAGAAAGAAGGCACACTCTCTCACCTCACCCGAAACCAGTCCTTTGTTACACATTTGACAAAGAACTAACTCTCCAGGAAGACCATTTCACACTAACTGGATATTTAACTTTATGTTCACATAAACATTCAATGGATTATTTACCAATAACAAAAAGTTTTAAAGGAGCTCCTTTAAAACAGAAATTCAGGCAAAGTGTCCCCCATCCCCCCCCCACCCCCAATTAGTGAAAAGGAGACACACTTTTCTCAACCTACCTCAAAAATCGACCTGTTTTGGGGAAAGTAGTTACGTGTTTTCTACTCAGAAAATTATATGGAACAATCTGATACGGTTTCACAAGAATTGTTTGGAGCTGTTGCTAACAAAATGGCTCAAGAAACAGTGTTATGTTTCAAGTTGACAAAAAGTAACTACCCGAGGAGAGGATGTGTCTGCACTGATGGCTCTCTTTTCTGGGTCCCCATGGCACTTAGTCTGCCTGTGACCATTATAATTATATAACTGGAGTTTTTGTGCCTGGCCACACTCTACCCCAACCTTCCACGTCACTGTGAAGGGTCCTGGAGAAGGGGGCTTACCTTCCTCGTGTTTTGATTCCCCTGGAACCCAGGCCAGTGCCGTGAAGAGACATCCCACGAACGTCTAGTGAGGGTGTGGGGAACACGCTCAGATGCGGTAGGTTGGGGTCAGATTACACGGGGCTTTGGAATCCGAGCAGAAGAACCTGGTCTTCATCCATCGTCGGCCAGAAGGAGCCACTTAAGCTTTCTGAGCAGAGGGTGAGAGGAAAAATTGTACTTCAGCCCAGCAGTGGGGCACCAGAGTGGAAGCTGTTGCCAGAGGCAGCAACCACAGACGATAGGGGCAAATCTAGACGCTTCAGAAAGTAAAGCAGAACTTGGGGACACTTTCAAGGAAGTGGAAGACATGCAAGTGTAAAGTTGTCTCTAGTCTATGAGATCAGATCACTGAAAGAGATGCCCCCCTAAGAGACACTCGCGTGAGGATGTGGGGGAAATAAGGCCACTGTTGGTCACAGTGAATTTGAAGAGATCCCCAAGCTGAAATGTCTAGACGGCAACTATGACTCAGAAAGGAGTCAGGGCTAGAGATTCCAATCTAGACGTCACCCGTGTAGTGACTGCTCTGAAAAGCGAAGACATCACGCGCATGCCCCAGAATCTGCTTGTCGGGGTGCGGGGGAGAGGTCCAGCCAAGGGTACCCAGAGGATCTGCCCAGGAGCTAAGGGAACCAGGCCAGGCTGCCTCAGGCGACCTCTAGGGAGAGCTTCCTGAGGAACGGGGGCAGGGATGACGGCAGTGGGGTGTCAACAGCAACAGCCTTGGAAGAAAGTGAGGCCCGAGGAAAGACATGGCAGTTTTTTTAAAGGAGGTCATTCGCGGGGAGCAAGACACTTCAGTAAGTGCGGGGAGCAGAGGCCAGGCTGCAGAGCACAGATTCAGAAGAAAGAAAATAGGAAGACACCAGCAGCAGTGGCTGTGGGCTGCCCTTGAGGTGGCCATTCAGGAGCTACAGGAAGGAGCAAGACTGAGGGAGGTTATAATAATCCTCAATCCTGAGCATGGTGTCAAAGCTCCATGTGGGAACAGGCACCCCAACTCTCTTCTCCAGCTGACAGGTCCATACATTACACCTTTAAATGGCCCAGGTTTCTGGACACGTGGTTCCTCTGTGTCCAAAGCCCCTTTGAGCCCAGAGAAAGAGCCCACTTAGAGAGTGCCTGGGGAGCATGTGGAGAGGCCACAGGGCGCCAGGAACTGAGCGTTTCTTGGAACTCTGAGCGCCGGTGCCGGTTTCAAGGCCGCAGCCACATGTGCTGCTGGTAGGGACTGTGTAGAGAGAGCAGATGGCCTGTGGGCTCCCCGGGCAAGAGCACACAGTGGCCACATCAAAGGGATGGGGCAACGGGACTGTGAGTTCCTTGCTCTTCCCCACGAGTGGACCACAACTCTGGGATGTCACAACTGAGTCCAACTGAATCTAAGCACTTGTGTTGCAAGTACCCATGAGTCGGCCAAGGAACACGGACTCTGACATCTCCTGAGTGAGAGAGATTCAGGGTCAGAGGCTCCTTTCTGGCACATCCTTCACACTGGAGAAAGCTGGAGGGAGCCCGCCGATGTCTTCACATGGCACAGATACTGTAGAGGCGCAGGAATGGGAGGTGCTGCAGTCTGAACGCTTATGCCCCCCCCCCCCCCATTCATATAATGAAATACTGAGCCCTGAGGTGATGGTTTTAGGAGTGAAGGCTTTGGGAAGTGATTAGGTCATGAGGGCGGAGACCTCATCACTGGGATCAGAGCCCCTATAAAACAGGCCACAGAGAGCTCCCTTGCCCATTCCCCGACGTGAGGACACAGCACGACGGCACTTGCCAGACCCCAACCCCGCCAGGGCCATGATCTTGGATGTCTCAGTCTCTAGAACTGTGAGAAATAAATGTTTGTGGCTTACAAGCCACCCAGTTCGTGGTCTTTTTGTTACAGCAATCCAAATGGACTAAGACAGGCCTTAAAGGAAACTATGATGCAGCCAGAATTTTGGAAGCTTCCAAAAGCCGATAAACTTAGGAGAATCTGGAATCAAAGCAGTGGTAATGCCTTCCTGGCTGGGCGATTCTACCATTTAATGAAGAATAACTGAAGAAACCCCTAAGATTTCATCAAATACTATGTTTGCATTTGACTTCCTTCAGCAAAACGTCCTAAAATTTCCAGAAAATATCCATTAGTGACAAATTATTGTTGCAATTTGCATGGCTCTGATCTTCAAGGGCGAAATGGGTGGTTTCGCTGAACTGAATCTTCAGTGTGAGGAGCACTAGGAACAGACAACACTTAGATAGCTCTTAGCACGCGCCTGCACTGTCCCTGGTGCTTCTTACACACTGACTCACTTCACACGCACAAACCCCCCAACGTAGGTATTTTTACTGCCCCCACTTTACAGAGGAGGAAAGTAAGATAGGAGGAGACTGAGTCCAAGGAAACGCAGTCAGCTAGGGATAAACAGCGATTGGGTCCAGGTAGCAAGGCTCCAGGGTCTGTGCCTTGACCACTGAGCTGTACTGCCTGGAGAAGGCGGAAGTCCCTGACCTAGAAGTTGCTCAGGACGGCAGGAGAGGGAGAAAAGTAAAAATGGAATATGGACATGACGGGGTGAGTGTAGGGGTGGAGGCGTATGGTGGGACCATGGGCACGTGGGAGAGGCCTGCAGCCATTACAATGGGTCCTGGAAAGGCTGTCCAGAGGGGCTGACACATGAGTGAGACTTGCAAGAAGACAAGGGAGGAAGGGGCTGGATATCATGCCAAAGAAGAGCAACAGCAAAGACATGCAGGAACCTGCCAGACGACGGGCCAGAGGGCGAGGAAGGGGCATTAAGAGACGAGGCTGAGGAGGGGGTGGGAAGGGGCCACAGAGTCCCTGAAAGCCAGGCTGGGAGGCTGGATTTAATCCTGCAGGAGATGGGAGCCGATCAGGGGCATTCCCAGGGGAAGGACATGGTTGGATACACATCCTATTTTAGGTGGAAAGTGGTGAAACTAGGGTAGGGTGTGGGGACTGATCAGAAGGTTAACAATGGCCAAAAAGCAGCCAACTGAGAGCAAATAAGTAAGAAAAAGACCACTTCTAACACTATCTTCTTTCTCTCTCTTTACAAGCACCAACACACCAGCCCCTGCATTGCAGAGAAGCTGAGTTCATCTTGAAAGCAACAAAGAGAAGGGGGTCCTTTTTGAAACTTTTTGGTGGGAGCTTAGCCTTTTGAGCTGGACCACTTATTATGTCATTTTCTTTTCCACCAGAATCCCTGCAGGGGGCAGTGCCGAGAAGGAGCAAATCAGAAGCTCCTGTGTTGTGGGGCTGGCAGCAGAGAATTGCACTGATGACCCCTCCACACCAAGCATTTGACTTCTCCTAGACAGCTGAGAAAATCTTGAGTTGAAATCCAAGGCAGTTACAGGACCCCAAGGCAGCTGAGATGCTCCTGACCACCCAGCTAACTTCAGGACAGCCTGCTTGTCAAGGACTCGTGAAGACACACAGGGACCAGCATGCAACACACAGAATTCACACCGACCTTTTTTTTTTAAAGACTGGCACCTGAGCTAACCTCTGTTGCTAATCTTCTTCTTTTTCTTTTCTTCTTCTTCTTCTTCTCCCCAAAGTCCCCCAGCACATAGCTGTATATTCTAGTTGTAGGTCCTTCTGGTTGTACTATGTGGGACACCGCCTCAGTGTGGCTTGACGAGTGGTGCCAAGTCCACGCCCAGGATCCGAACCAAGGAGACCCTGGGCCACCGAAGTGGAGGGCGCGAACTTAACCACTCGGCCACGGGACTGGCCCCCACACTGACCTTCTTAAATGCAATCCACAGAGCTGAAGAGGAAAGACTTCACATTCCGCTCGACTGAGCAGCTCCATCATCTTCCAAGTCATTCTGTCCTAGGAGAAAACAAGTAGGCTCATTAATTACTCGCATGAGTTATCAATTCACACCACATCAAACAAAAAGCTCACATTTCATGGACAAGATGAAGTGCAATTCAGAACAAACTGCAGCGATGATCCATGCAAACGCCTGAGTTTTGAGGCTTAATTTATACAAATAACAGATAACCCGACTCTCCCCATTGGTTCTCAGGACAGCTAAAGCATCATTTAGGGTTTCTGCCTGGGAGTAGCAAGGAACGGTTATAGAGAGAAGAGGTTTTAGGCACTGTATTAGATACACACTCTGCAATGACCTTCCCATATTTTCAGCCTGTTCCTGAACGGCAATTTGTCCCTGGCTCCACGTCTTGGAAATCTTAAAGCTCTTGAGCTGGCTGAGGCCTTAGACTAATAGAGTTCAAACCTCTCATTACCCTTAAAAAACTGCAATACAGTCAGAGGGTCAGTTAACGGGAGCACTAGATGTAAAAACTCAAAAGAAACGTATGTTAATTGAGCATCTCTTGGTGCCAGGCCCTGTGTTCTCTGCTCTAAATACATGATCTCACGCAGTTCTCATGATTGCCTCATGAGGGATACACAGGCACAGAGATGGAGGCTGAGTTCTTGGGTTCATTGACTACTTATCTGAGTATCTGCTACATGTCAGGCACCAAGGTAGGTGCTGAGTATACAAAGGAGAAATAGACACACTTCGCTTCCTGCCCATAGGAAGGTCACATTCTGGCAGGGATGGGGGAGGGGAGTCAGGCAACTTAATTAGCACTGTGATGTTCAAACAGCAGCTCATTAGAAGCTCATGAAATAATTTAGTGGATCTTGATCAGCATGAAAAATAAATGAATGAACAAATAAATAAAGTAGAAGAGAATAACACAGAATGGAAAATAGTGTGCATGCAATATCACATGGCTATATGTCTATATATCTATATCAATCATATATACGTCTGTGTGTACTGGTTTGCAATGTACAATATATTTTCTCTTGTAGGTCATGGTGAAAAAAAGTGTGAAAGCTCTCAAGTTACAGAACAAAGTGACAAGTGCTTTATTAGAAGTTCATGCAAAATGGTGAGAGCAAAAAGGAGTGAGTGTCTGCCTGTGGATTAGTTAGCACCTAGCTCCAGAGTGAGCTGGGTACCATTCTGGCTTCTCACCAAGAAGTCTCTGAAGGATGGGATGCCCAAATCTAATGCTTGGAGCTAAGAAGAGCTTGAAAAGGACTGGTATGAAGTTTCAGGGACTAAGGAAGAAAACAGAGTGGAAGTCCCTTCTCCTGTAGCCTGGGAAAGAGGATGGGCACCTATGAAGGCATAAGAAAGCACAATGACACTAGTTCTGTGTTTGCACGATGAAGCCAGGCTCTGGAAGAGGGGATTAAACCTCAAGAAGATGGAACCCAAATCCAACCTTAATCGCTAGAACTATGGGAGCTGCTGGAACGTCTACCAGTATCAGCTGGGTCTGGAACAAATTCCCATCACCCCACTGTTGATAGAATGCAGAGAGCCTGTGGAATCTGGAAGGCAGGAGACAAGACGCCACATGTGAGGTCCTTTAAATGATCTTAATCTCCAGAGCAGTACCTCCTTTGGGATGATAGGTCATTGCAATCTCCCTTATCAACATATGATAGTTACTAAATTTTCTATTCTTTTAATAAAACTTCCTTCAGGCATATTCTGGATACCAGGTTTACAGGTTGAGGATTTGTGGCAATCCACTAAACTGCCATGTGCAGATATCTTCTCGGGTTTCTGAGCATGGATTCAAGGCAAGAGAAAAAAGATCTTCCCACAGAGTAACACAAGTCATTCATGTTGTAAGCTTCTCTGATGTGGGGTTTCAGTGACCACGGAATAAGGAGTAGCTCAGGGGGCAGTGAAATTCATCGTTATCTTGGGGAGTTGGTTATTGTGTATTTACCTTTTATCAAGCAACATGAGATGATGTCAAGATTAATTATTGTATTCGTTATTTAGTCCATATTTTTTCCTTGTACAGACTTATGATGATAATGACAAGAACTGGGTGCTATATAAAATGAACAGCCCTAGAAATGTATAGAAAAATAATGACTAGATTTTATGTTTTAAGTTTCTTTACCCATCAAATAACAAATTACAAGGTCTTTAATAAGTTCCTCTTCACTACAGCTGATGGCTCAGGAGAGAACAGTAGTATGTGTTGAAAGCAGGAGAAATAATTAGGGTACGATTCTTTTTTGTTCTATTAAGAAACAAATGAAATAGTTCACGTGAAAGTGCTTCATGTACTAAAAGGTATATTGCAAATATTAAACATTTCAGTTATTATTACCAATGCTAATAAATTATTATCAAGTAAAAAATTAAAAGTATTAGTGCCCACAAGTAAGTGAAATTGTATTTGATGTTTCCTGGATATGTAGTTTTCCGCACATCTTTATTTTTAAACACAAGGACTCAGGTTTAACTAACATCTTCAAGGATTAACATCAATAAGGCGGAGAGTTTAATAAATAATTGTTCTTCAAAACAGAAGTGCAGATGGCCCTTGATGAGTAAATTTGTTCTATTATCTTCGTTGTATAGATGAAGCAGCAGGAGCGAGGACACTAAATGATTTGGCCAGTGTCACACAGCAGCAGAACCAGAACACAGAATCAGACCACTGTGACTTTAACTTCTAGCCTTGCTCATGATTTTGGTTATTGGTTTGCTTTTCCTTATAGAGCCATAAGCTATTTTCTAGTCTTTGTCCAGAATGTAGATGATTATATGTAACATAATGATTATTATATATTATCGTCACACACCTCACACTACCAGCAGCCTTAGTGAACGAAAGGACCTTTCTGATCATCAGCAAGACAAGTTCACCCTGTCTATTGCTAGTCTAGATTTAAAGGAAGTTTTTTGCCTTCTTAGCCTTTTAAATTATAACTGTTTTTAGGTTTTACCATGTGTCAATTAAAATCAGGCGGTACCACTTTGTTTTCAGAAAAAAAAGTCTCAAAAGAACAAGTAATACAAGGAAAGGTAATAAAGCGAATGTGTTGTTGGTGGCATTTAACTTACTTTAAGTTCTACTTAAAGCTTCTTCAACAGATAAATCATAAGAGGGCAGAGGAAGTATCTACAGTTTAAAAAAGTATTGAAAGAGAGACTCAATATTTTTAGATGGGCAAGATTAAACTTTCAAATCTGGAGATGCACATATGGGTAATAACGCGATTAAAAGGTAAACGCGAGAAGCTGATTCCCACAGAAGTTCAGACGTGGTTGTTCCCGGTGGAGCAGAGGGTCTGTGACCGGGGTGGGCTAGAGAGAAGGGGCTTCTGGGGGTAGCAGTAAAGTTCTATTTCTTGCCTTGGGTGGTGCTCCCCTTACAGTAATTCATTAAGCCATGCCCTTGATTTGTGTGGCTTTCTGTATTTGTGGACTTTTTTTTTTCTTTCAAACTAAAGGGATATACATAAAGAAATCATTTTTTTGAAATAGAGAACTAACAATACGATGACGAGTTGTTATTTCCAGGTGTAGTAGGACAAAAAGAGTGGAAATGAAAGGCGATGGTCCCTTCATTTGTCATACAAAAGGCTGGATTTTGAGAGCCTAGGGCACAGAGCACGCTGCGTCAATCACTGAGTGGTCTTCGGTAGTATCTGGCCCCTTCCGTCTAAGAATGTGTTCAAATTGGTTTTGATGGCAAATAAGTCTAATCTATTGTCCCAGCAGATGGAGGTTTTATTAGCTTCGGAACTGCATTTGAAAATGTATCATATCCAAAATGCACAAGTTCTCCAGCTTTATTTCTTGCTTCTAGGTTTTAAGTTCAGAGCATCCCAAAATTTCCTCCTCCAACTGGAACAGTCAAGATAAACCCCAGGTAAATTCTCCTAAACAAACCAGGGCCAGCAGTCCCATTTACTGCAGGATACGTGGCTCCCACTGGCCTCTACTGTAAGTCCTGGCCTCGCTCCGCGGGCGAGAACACAAAGCATCCTGCAGAGGACGCAGGCCGTGGGGACGAGATTTCAGTTCTCCTGAGCCTAACTTCACTCCTTTTTCCGTAGCTGAATAAAATACTTTTCCCTTTCTCTGTTTATTTGCACAGAGGGTTGTTTAACACAGGAGCACAAAGAGTGGAGGGAAAGTCACAGCGACGTGGACTGGAAGGATTTCCAATCACAATAAACACACCCAAAGAGAGAGGAAGATGGTAAGCGATATATTTCCTCTCTGACATTCTTTAAAATAAATGCACAGCCCTGGAGGGGGCAGCCTGACATGTGACGCTGGATGGATAAGTGTGGAGAAGCACAGATCTTTGTACACTACCTACGCCATGCCCAGGCCCCATTCCAGACCACAATTTGGCAAATGGGTCCCAAGGGCCTGCGTATCTGGAGATTGTCTGCAATACAGCCATCGGGGCTGCTTAGAAATCAACAAGACTCCTTTCCCTTCGGTTAGCCTTCGGCAGTCTGGCATGCAAGAAGATGCTCTTTCTTCTCTGACACATTCTGCAGAGCCTCCTGCATCCCCCAAGCTGAGTCTCGGGCCACTGAGAAATGCTGTGATAGGTGTCTAATCTATCCCCCAGCCACAGCAGGCACAGCCGAGAGCAGGCCCAACCTATATTCTGGTCCATCACGTTTTGAAGCGATTTCCCCCGAAGCAGATGAGCAAAATCCACACAAATTTTAAAGCAACATATGATTGCTGTGAAAGAATATAAGGAAGTGTATTTTCTTCAGCCACTTCTACGAATCCATCCCTTCTTATGGCCAAATCCACATGTCATTCTGCATTACTCACTTTGAACAAGACACAGAAACACCGAGCACTACGGCATGGGACACATCACACACTAGGAAGCCTTAAAACATAGCCACCCATAAAAAGCTGGCTTCTCCCGTTGCTGTCAGAGGGGAGCACAGGCGCATAACCTTGCAATTCCTTCAAAAAGAGAAAAATCTCTCTTATTTTCAACATGAAATGACACCCCCTACCCAACACACATCTAACACCAACGATCTGCCCATGGAAAGGCTCCTCTCAGATGATTACACCTCACAAGTCTATCCGGTTCCCATCCGAAACAGTCTGTGAACATGTTGAGCTGAAGGATAAGAGGGACATATGGTAGCTTTATGGGATGACCTGTTGCTATTATTAGTGCTGTCCCCTAGAATTGTGCAGTGTACAACCTGTGAGGCCACATGTGGCAGCCTGATTATACTTGTAACGTCATAATATATTCTTTACTTGTGTATTTGCATATTATGTATATTATAAAAGCAATATGTATATTACACATTTTACATCAATCAGTTCCTTCTATCACTTGTCCATGTAAATCTTATTGATTAGTCAACTCTTATTCACTAAGTTTCATTATTTTAAACCAACATCGGTAAGTTAATTATGTTTAGTGCCAAGTGTTAGGATCTCTTTTTCTTCTAATCTTTGAGTATAAATCTCCTTGAAAGTCAGACTTAGTTTCACCTGAGTCAACAGTGATCTTTGATTTTCTCCCCTCCCATTCCATTGGTCTCCAGAAATTGAGGCTGGATTCTAATTCTACCTTAAAAATAAATCTCAAGTCTCTACCCTCTCAGGCCTTCTAATATTTCCTCCGGACCATTACAATAGTTTTCTTGCTGGCCTTCCAACTTCCAGTCTCTCCCAAATCAGTCAATCAGTCACATTATAGCCAGAATTGCTTCCTCAAATACAAATGGGTTTAGATCACTCCTCTGTTTTAGAAACTTTAATGGCTCTATATTCCCCAACAGATAAAGTCCAAACAAATCACTGTGGTATACAATGAGTTTATAGTCCAATCAGCTCATAAGTCGGGGCGAAAATGACTTCCAATGCCAACCAACATCGATTCATGCATCCATTCAATCACAATCCACTGGACCCTCTTAAAAACACAGTGGGATTCAGCAAGCCTGAAGAAAATTGGTAAAACCCAGATCTTAGGGTGCAAACACTTCAGCAGGTGACTGAGATTTGGCCCCAGTCTGGAGTACCAGTCTCAGATCCAGTGAATCCCCATTCACCCATTTCTCCTGTATTCCAAACTTATTGAATTTTTCGTTACCTAAAAATGTGCCAGGTTCTTTGATACCTGCATATCTTTACTTCATCTCCAGTGCTTGGAATGCCTTCCCTGAGTCTCTGCCCCGTGAACCCCTATTCACCCTTCAAGATTCTGCCCAATATCCCCATCTCTGTAAGGCCTTCCCTGATACTCCAAGGCAGAATTATTTGCTCTTTTTTTAGTGCTGCCTGTTCTTGGTTTACACCACTCTGGTAGCAGATTCTTGTATTGTGCTGCAATCATTTGTTTGTCTGTGCTTTCTGCTACATTGAGGGCAGGCTCTGTACTTTAAGGGGTCATGGTTTCTTCAGTTCCTCCCCTGCCATTTGGCACACAGTAGATTACGAACTAATTGAAGAGTGGTAAAGGTCAGCAAAGGAAAACTAGGTCCCCAGAGTGGGGGCCTGAGCCAAATCCCATCTAAAGCACTCACTCTTTTGGGGATGCACAAGCCCTGCCTTGCTCCTGTGAGCCTGTCTCCTTTCTAGTATGGACAAAGATGGTCTCCTTGTGGCTGAGCCCAGCCCAGGCTCCAAAGAGCTGTGGTTTCAATGGGGGAGGCAGTGGGGTAGCAACAGGGAAAGGATGCACCTTCCTATGGACGAAGTTGATTCTTTGGGCCGCCCCGCAGTAAGAGATCCCCTGCAGCTCATTCCAGTATCTCTCACTTCTTTTGAGTTTGGGAACTAACAATCTGGACTCCAGGAAAGTATTTCTAGAAGTGGCTAACTTTGTGGCCAATATGTTAAGGCCACTGGAGTAAATATGAAAGAGGAAATGAGGAATCCATATTTGAAATTACGGTCATGTGCTGAATAACAACATTTTGGTCAATGATGGACCGCATATACGATAGTGGTCCCATAAGATTAGTGCCATATAGCCTAGATGTGGAGCAGGCTATGCCATCTAGGTTGGTGTAAGTACACTCTATGATGTTCGCACAACGACGAAATCGCCTAATGACACATTTCTCAGAATGTATCCCCCTGATTACATGACTTAAGACTGTAGGTACAAATGACCTTCCTTCCTCTCTCCCCTCCTTCCTTCCTAAATGTGGAGAAATTAGCTTGTATGACTGGCAGATGTCATTTTTACGTATTTGAACACATTATTAAACAGTCCATTTTTTAAAAAATCCATTTCAACCAAGTTAAATGAATTTTAGAATCAATTTAGCCTTTATCCCACCAAAGAGGGTAAGACGTGGAAGCTGCCCTCAAGAAATTCATAATCTAGTGGCTACGTTTAGTTCATTGATAGTCTTGCCATTTCCCCCAGAGTGAGACATTTCAGTCCATAGATAGTTATTATGGAGGAACTTTAATTAATTAGTTAATTAATTAACTTTCCCACAATCCCCTGTAGGCTAAAACTGGTGGTTTTCCCAAGAAAAATTACTGAGCCAAAGCCCAAACAATAGAAAAATAGACCAGAGCGTATATATCTGCACATGAATATTCATAAACACTCACAAAGAGGTGGTGAACGTGGACACAGACATTTGCTGCCCAGATCAGCCGAGGGGCAGTAGGACAGCTGGAAATTGCTGCTGCTCGCCAGGCCCAAGGCAGCCGTGGTGGGAGGTGTGGTTTCCTCCCCAGCAATTGGGATCCCACAGCTCACCCTTCCCACGACCCTGGGTGCTCCCAGGTCACTCTGCCTCCTTTTCATGGATACTGGGTGAGGAGAATCTTCCAGGCCTGATCCACCCCTTGGCCTGCTCCTTTAGTGGGTTCACTTCCTGACACTCCCATCTCACCAGCCTTGAAATGGTCTGATGTGATCACAGGACAGGCTCCAGAAAACCGAGTGTCTTCTCTACTCCTTATTACACTAACTCCATCTGCTCTCTTCTGGGAGGTCACAGCAGCCCTATTTGTAGGGCCTGTGACATGAGCACATTTTGTGTCCTGAAGCCTTCAGCAAACCTCAGGAAGTCAGCTCTGCGGGGTGTATCTTCATTTCACAAAAAAACAGAAAGCTGGGGGCCAGCCCGGTGGCACAGCAGTTAAGTTTGCACATTCCACTTCAGTTGCCCAGGGTTCGTCGGTTCAGATCCCAGGTGCGGACCTACACACCGCTTGTCAAGCCATGTTGTGGCAGGTGTCCCACATATAAAGTAGAGGAAGATGGGCACGGATATTAGCTCAGGGCTCATCTTCCTCAAAAAAAAAAAAAAAAAAAGAGAGAAAGCTGGAATTCAGAGTGGCTTACGCAAAAGATAGTCAGTCAAAGCCATTCGGGTAAATTCTGAAGAAAACCAAAGGTATGCTGTTCAAGTTTGAGAAAAGCACATTCCAGAGGGGTAGTTTTCCCCTCTGCACAGCCGAGGCCCATCTGAAGCAAAATTTGCTTCCCATTTTTTTACTGAATGAAGTAAGAGCATCACTTTTGAATTCACTATGTAAAGTTACCCTCAGAGAAACAAGAAGCCCAGCTGAATAAAGTCTGGATAGGAAAGGAGAAGCTTCCAAACTACCAATCTGCCATCTCCAAAGCCCGCAGCCTTTCAAACTGAACACAATGTCTGCCCAGAGAGCAATTTCGTCTCTTGGAGACAAGCCTGTACTTAGGCAGGAAAAAAGGAACAAGGTGCGCACATCAGCATCAGTTTCAACTTCCAAAGGAGTATAATCACTGTTTCTGGAAACTTTCTCCTTTCAGATAAACAACTGGGTCCCCAGGTTGAAGATGAGTCACGTCGTCCCACCCCTAGAGCTCCCCAAACCACACATTCCTCTCGCCATTCGCATACATCCTAACCTAAACCAGGGCCACTTATAAAAGGGCTCGTGTTTAACTTGATTCTATTTAATTCCAGTGCTTTCTTCCAGCTACCCAGTCTGTACGTAATTAAAATCACATTGCAGCAAACATTGAATGGAATGAAAAGTTTTACCATATGTATACAATTGACTAGCTGTAGAATTTGGCATGTCTACCATGATCCCATTAAGCAGGGCGAGCCTGGCTTATTTTGGAGTATACATTATATGTTTTGGATCAGTTGTGCTTTTCACTTCTGCTAATGCCGTCCACGACGCTTAACCCTTTGTCAACAGCCACGACGATGTGTTCCTGCATTTCCACAATGAGGACCG